GCCCAGGAGTTGGAGGTTGCTGTGAGCGTGATGCCATGGCACTCTACCCGGGGGATAGCTTGAGGCTCCGTCTCAAAAAAAAATAAAAATAAAAAATAAAAAAATAAATTACAATATGCTGAAACCTCTAAAGAACAGTTTTTAACAAAAATGCTATAGCTATAATATGAATAGAATACAACTAATCTATACATATATACAAACCGGATTGTATTTGTAGATATTGTGTGTGTATGTATATACAAAATACTGGAACCTCTGTAAATTGATCATCCAAGGGACTGTAATAAAGTGGTCAATATCCAACATGGTCAACATAAGGAACTAGGCCTACTGGACTGATACATACATGTAGTATACATACATTTCGTCCAGGCAACGAAAATTAGGTCATCCTAAGGAGATGGTCAATGTAGGGAGTTCGTCTACTATGGAAGTGCTACTGTGTATACAAGATATACGTATCCTACAGAATAACCATTTACTTAGAATTTAATCTTAAGATGCTATAGAGAAAGAGATGTGCATTTAAGTCACTCTAAAGCTATTGTAAGAGAACACATAAATGTATATCTATGTTTTTTTTAATAGGAACTGGGGAGAAGGTTGGGGTTTCATGCCTTCTGACCGAGCTCTTGTCTTTGTGGATAACCATGACAATCAACGGGGACATGGAGCTGGAGGATCTTCTATTCTCACGTTCTGGGATTCTAGGTAGGAAACAAAGTTCTCTACTGTTTTCACTTGCCTTTTGATGATGGTAGAACGATTCTGTTTTCTGTGATAATATCATTTTGTGACTTTCAGACTGTATAAAATGGCAGTCGGGTTTATGCTTGCTCATCCTTATGGATTTACACGAGTCATGTCAAGCTACCGTTGGCCAAGATATTTTGAAAATGGAAAAGTAAGTTTTAGAATTGCTCAAAATATCTTTTTCTCAAGATAAAGAAGGAAATTTTGTTCTAATTTAACATAAGGCTATTACATACAATATGTATTCATTAACTATTAAGTGCAAATTGGATGCAGGACTCCAATTTTAGTAATACAGATAATATTGAAGAAGTACATTTATCCAAAGGAAGTATGGAAGGAACTAATATTTATTTAGCAATTATCACATTCAAAGCATTTTCCTATATATTACATAATTTTTATAGCAGCCAAGCAATATCCCCATTTTACAGATAAGGAAAATGTGGCAGAGATAAGTTTTCTTAGCCAGTAGTGATGGAGACTAGGTTTTAGTCCTAGTGTTTCTGACATTAATGCCCTTGCCATTTCAATGACATTGTACTGCTTACAGTGATTTTCCAGAAACTAAATGAGAGAATAAAATGTTGTTACTCTTGGGTGGCGCCTGTGGCTCAAAGAAGTAGGGCACCAGCCCCATATGCCGGAGGTGGCGGGTTCAAACCCAGCCCCGGCCAAAAACTGCAAAAAAAAAAAAAAGACATTGTTACTCTTGTTTAATATGTTGCATTAAAGAACCAAAGGAGAGAGAGATGATGCGGACTCGGAAAACGGCTGTAGAAGTAATGAAGATGTTAGATTCTAAATAAAGACACCATTGGGACACAAGTAGCAGGTAGATTGGTTTAGTGTAACAGAAAGGGAAAAGATGAATACATGTTAAAATATTAGGTGTTTTTCTTTCCCTAATTAAGGATGTTAATGATTGGGTTGGGCCACCAAATGATAATGGAGTAATTAAAGAAGTTACTATTAATCCGGACACTACTTGTGGCAACGACTGGGTCTGTGAACATCGGTGGCGTCAAATAAGGTAGGAATATTTGTTTAGAGATATCCTCTAGTAATAGTAAAATTTGTTTGACATTTTATTTCTAACTGTCCTATATGATACGATATTGTGCTTTAGGAACATGGTCATCTTCCGTAACGTAGTTGATGGCCAGCCTTTCACAAACTGGTGGGATAATGGCAGCAATCAGGTGGCTTTTGGAAGAGGAAACAAAGGATTTATCGTCTTTAACAATGATGACTGGTAAGTAGACATCCATTAAGAATAACATTCCATACTAGTATGTTCTTGGCTTATTCTTTTCATTTCTACTCATTTACTTTTTTCCATTCTGCAAATTCTTTAATCAGTGGGGTAAGAATATACAGAGATCAGGAAAGGGCATGGAGGAAAATGATGATGGCTTTTCTTCTTTTCCTCTCCTATGTTTATAAGGGCTTTCTGTTGTAAGTAGAGTTTGTTTTGTGTCCTGCAATATCATATGTCTGTATCCCTACAATGCACATATATATGCTCACGCACCTAAATCCCATGAAATACACAAAGTATTTAATATGAGGATTGTGACATTATTAAAGGAGCATGTCTTGAAGCTCTGCTTTGTTTTTTGTTTTTAGCCATGCAAACGTGCTGCCTCAATATCTTTTTTTTCTAGCTCTTTTTTTCAACTACTCCTCTATCTGGGTCTGTGGTATACTTTCTTCATTTCTCTGTGTCTTTGTAAGAAATATTTTTTAAAGCATACGTATAAAGAATATGTATCTTATGGCTAATGATCTGCCTCAGGAGATATGGAATTCTAGTTCTGAAGCTTCACACTAGCAGCCTCCCATTTGTGGTACTTATATCCTCTGCCTCTAGTGTAACGGTCCCTCATATCAAACTTGGAAGAACTCTTTGCGAGCAGATGAAATGTCTCAGTCTGAGGCCAATTCCATTCACTTAGCTCAATCTAACTGAAATTAAACAATCTAACTGAAATTAAATTTTACTATCAAAAGATAAAAGAATAAATGCCAAACATCTCTCTTCCATGCCCAAGGAAACTAAGGCTGATTTTTAAATTTCTTTTCTGAAAGGGAAATCCAAAATGAAGTTATATGTGACAGCTGTATATTTAAAACTATGTATTTCTTCACAGAAATGCTAGAGTAGCTTTTACTTCCAGCCCAAATTCTTTCTAGGCCTTGAAAAAACATTTTTGAAAAAATAATCCATTTAAATTCTTAAAAGTAATCAATGTTGTCTTAAGTTCCGATGAGGACAAATTTGAAATATTTAAGTTTACCATGGTGAGTACTTTTAGTCAAAGCACGGCAATTCCTGCAAATCTTTGCTAATATTCTTTAACTTTTTTTTTTGGTAATATTCACTACTAGTTAGGATATTGTGGGTCTTCTGTAAGGTTGCCTTTGGCCCTGAAAAAGCTATTTGCATCCACTGGAGAGGTCTTGTGTTTGGATTTTCTTCTTATTGAGACCTTGACTGCTTAGAGTTCCACAGCACAAAATTAACCTGGGCATTTGATTTATGGTTTGGCTGTATTCTTGCTTTATGTTGTGTTGAATTTAAGTTACATCTTAAATTTTATTTTACAGGTCATTATCTTTAACTTTGCAAACTGGCCTTCCTGCTGGCACGTACTGTGATGTCATTTCTGGGGATAAGATTAATGGCAATTGCACAGGAATTAAAGTCTACGTGTCCAATGACGGCAATGCTCACTTTTCTATCAGCAACTCTGCCGAAGATCCATTTGTTGCAATTCACGTTGAATCTAAATTGTAAAATTCAAATAAAATAGCCATACTCAAGATCAATAACCAAGTGTGTTTCTTTCCTTATATATAGAAATTCTTATAATTCATTAATTTTTAGTAAAAGCTATAATAAGAAATCAACTTGAAAAACTCAGAAAGGCAGAAATAATCACATATAATTATATATTTAAAAGGTAAAAAATGTATGTTTTAGAAGACTCATGTTAACCTATTTTTCAGAGGAATTTCTAAGAACTCGGAAAGGCATCTTAATAAACACGTTTGTCACCATTAATGCCATTTACCCAGCTCTAAACCCTGCCAGTCTTCCACAGAGTATTTCTGTCCATTAATTAGGGATAGCTGGTTTTATGTTGATTCCCATGCAAAGCTGGCCCATTTGTATGGTTTTCACATGAAACTACTTTCGCAGTTAATGGAGTTGAAAAATAGAAGAAACCTAAATTATATAATCTACAGTGCCTAATTATATTGAGTTCACTGTAATCTATACTTTATGCTCTTGCCACTTCTTCCCTTTTTATTTTCCTAATGACTTTGACTTACACTTGTATGGCTTTCTCTTCCTGCTCATAACCTCTAACAGAGATGTTTATTTGGAGCTTTCATGACCTCATGTGCTTTTCCTAATCCTCTAGCTGTTCATTCTCCTTCATCTTGATGTAAGTATGGAATTTGGGCTCCCACCTAGGTCTTCCTGTGTGTGTAACTCTCACTTGCTTTTCTTCTGCTCAGATGAGAACACAGAGACCATTAGTCAGAAATTCTCTCTTCTTTTCACCTATAAACTTATCTGTCCCCACTTGTGAAGCAGACTCACTCCGCATTGGCTGCCACTGTGGCTCACTCATCTTGGACTTCTGTCTGCTACTTGCATGAGGAGACAGAAGACACACAAACCAGAGTTGCATGAACCAGGTTTATTACTCACAGACAGGCATCAAGGCATAACAGAAACCCACAAGTCTGTACCCTCAGATTAATTTGAATAAAGTTAAAAAACAAAAGAGGCTTGGCACCTGTAGCTCAGGGGCTGGGTGCCAGCCAGATTCCCCAGAGCTGGTGGGTTTGAACCCAGTCCAGGCCTGCCAAACAAAGACAACTGCAAAAAAAAAAAATAGCTGGGCCTGGTGGTAGGCACCTGTAGTCCCAGCTACTTGGGAGGCTGAGGCAAGAGAATCACTTAAGCCCAAAAGTTGGAGGTTGCTGTGAACTGTGATTTCACAGCACTCTACCCAGGGTGAAAGCTTGAGGTGCTGTCTCAAAAAACAAAACAAAACAAGAAACCCAGGAGTCACAATATGCCAGCCTCTAAATCAGAGATTTTCAAGTGGTTTTCAAAAATTAAATTATTTTTGAAAGAAGTTCAAAGCACAGTAAGTATATTCTTTTTATTATTATTAATTTTTTTTTTTGCAGTTTTTGGCCGGGGCTGGGTTTGAACCCGCCACTACCTCCGGCATATGAGGCCCAAACTCTCCTATTATACCCCCATTGATATGAGAAAAAGACAACAGACTCTTGAAAGGATGGTTGGTCCTGACAGTGAAATAATAGAAAAAAAAAATCACCTTTTTTTTTTGTAAGGGCTAAAGTCAATCTCTTGCTCTGTTTTTGCTGTTGCTAGCTAGGCACCCTGTGAGTTCCGTCTTCACAAACCACTGAAAACAGCACATAGAAAGTCAATGTGAATTCTTCTTTTCACATTCACCAGCTCCTTGTCTTTTAGAATTTGTTTCTATAGCCTCAAGGGTCCTGAGTCTTCCCTGGATGGACTATAGAGTGTGAGTGCCTGGCCTCTGCCCAAAATGATATTATAGGGCAGAATCAACAACAGGATCAGAAACACCTGTGATAGCTCTTTCCAACAGCAAGGACAAATAGTTATTATCCTGCCAGAGATAGAGTGTATATAACATTTGTAGTACCCTGTGAATTTGTCTGCAATTAGTTTTTTGTTTGTTTGTTTTTGTTTTTTTCTGTTTGCCCCTTAAATTCACCCAGCCACCTGACCTCAGCACTGGTATATCTCCTTCCTTTCTTTGGGATGCCATGATGGGCAACTCTCTCTTCTTCTAAGAAGATAAAGTTTATGCTTTTATAAACTTAGATTTATAATCTTAGAATAGAGAAATCTTTCTCATCCCATGAGCACCTACTGAGCTTTCTACCCTAACTCTCAAAGCCACTCTTTACTGTTAATAACAAATGCTTTAGAGTAGGTAAGCAGGGACAGTATGCTATGTCAATCTGTTTTGCCTCTAAACAAAGTTACCAGTATTCCTCATTTCCTCCTCCTCTCTAAAAGGCAGGTACGAAAATATCAGCTAAACATACTAAGGGCTTGAACTACCTCATACCAGTCTCTTAGAATGTCAGAATTACATTCTTCCTTTAATGTAAGAGAATAATAAGAGAACCCTTTAAGAATTTCCCAGTAGTTAGTAAGGGGATAGAGTTGGGTGCCTACGATATGTAGATAGTGATGAAGATACACTTTTACCTAAAGCAGGAGAGAAAAAATGAACTTTATGGACATGTGCTGGCAAGCTTCAAAATTAAAAGCATATTGGAAAAGGGTTTTATAATGGGGTATTGGTATTTGTACAAAGGCTGAAGAACTTTCCTGGGAAAGTAAAACATCAAGGTTGCTTATTAGTTGATATTTTAACTTTTAGAATACCTTAGAAGAAATTCTGTTGACTGTGAAGATGTTTACTTCTGCATAAATATTCACGTAGCCCTTCCTCCAGCCATTCCATTCTCTACCATGCAATCAGAGTGATCTTTTCAAATCATTACGACTATAAAGTCTCCAAAATCCATCAGTGAATTACCACATACATTAGGATGACTGTGAGAGTAAGAGGAAACTTCCCCTTTCCACCAAAAGTTTGCTGAAAGATCAACTCACAATTAAGGCAAATTATTAAGAGGAAGAGGTTTACTTAGCATGTGCATGGGGAGAATCACATAGTGATTACCTAATACAGATATTACCACAGATACAGATATTATTGTATCTGCCTTTTAGAGAGGAGAAGGAGGAAATGAGGAATATCAATAATTTTGTTTAGGGGCAATAAATAGTTGCTAGGGAGGTTGGATAGGTACTTGGGAGAATGAATGAATGGGGGGAAGAGATTGACTTGTGAATTAACGTAAGAGGCAGGTATTACATTTCAAATGATTTGGGCCAGATCTTGTTGCATTCTTCATGGTCTCTCATACAATATACTGAGATAAGGGAGAGGAGAAAGGAAGTCAATTATTCTTTTAATGGGTCTATCTGGTTTATGCAGGTGAAGAGAAGCCCCCTTCTAAGGGCCTGTTGATTTATATAGGCCTTTAATTCAAAATACTCTTTAGGGATGTCCAACCTTCTTTCATTTTTGCCACACATTTGGAAGAAGAACAGCTGTCACTGGCCACACATTAAATACAGAAACACTATTGAAAGCTGATGAGCAAAAGAAAAGGTCTGTGCATACTTTTCATGATATTGACAACAAGATAAGCAAAAATGTCATCCAAAAAATTTACATATGTCCTGTTGAGTCAGGTCTCCTTCACCTAGGGCTGAACAGAGACCCCATTTTCTGGGTCCAAGCAGATTCATAAATAGTTTGATCGATATTCCATCTAAGCTGCCACTCCTGGGGAGAGGTGAAATGCCCTAAACAAGACCACATTCATATATAATGGCAGTTTTAAAATTAACTTGTGCCCACAGCCCTCTGGCATGAATGGTTGTGACATATTTTACACATGTATTTCCATTCCCACAAACCCCCCTGCCCACAGGGAAAGAGAAGTTGCATATATGCCCCTAGAGAGATAACCAAAATGGGCTACCCACTCAGACCCCCCTCTACTGTGCCAGATGTGTTATTTTCCATCTCCTTTTATCTATTAATAAAATTTATCCTTTTGCTTACTTGTGGTGGTCTGTGAATTCATTCGTCAAATTTTTGAGATGAAGGACTCAGCAGAGAAATTCCAATAACTCAAATTGGGCCTCAAGATGGACACCCCTGTGACCAAGGATTAATATTTTGGGATAAAACTTCCTGAGCACCTTCAAGACCAAAGTTCTTCTTTTTCTTTTTTTCAGACATAGTCTCAATCTGTCGCCCTGGGTAGAGTGCCATGGCATCAGCATAGCTCACAGTAACCTCAAATTCTTGGGCCTGAGCATTCCTTTTGCCTCAGCCTCTCAAGTAGGTAGAACTACAGGTGTGTTCTATTACACCTGGCTAAGGACCACAAATCTTAACAGAACTATTAAGCCTCATCTGCAGACTCACCTAATAGATCTCCAACCATTAACTTCCGATCTCTAGCTATGCTAACCTTTTAGTTACTCCAACTCAGCAAGGATGTTTTTAGTTCCTCAAGTTGAATACAAGTGAACTATGCCCCTAATAAGTTAACAAAGTATTCACAAAATAGTATTAGGAAAATGATGCCATGATGGTCTGGATATAAGAAATTTGAAATCCATTTTTGCTATGTTCCTAGAATTGTATAACACTACCTTGTTTGTAACAACTAGTTAACAACTTTATCTTTTTTATTTTTATTTATTTATTTTTTTTTTGAGAGAGAGATTCTGCCCTAGGCTAGAGTGCTGTGGTGTCATGCCTCACAGCAACCTCAAACTCCCAAGCTCATGTGACTCTTCTTGCCTCACCCTACCAAGTAGCTGGGACTATAGGTGCCCACCGCAATACCCAGCTATTTTTTTCTGTTTTTCATAAAGACAGGGTTTCACTTTTGCTTAGGCTGGTCTCAAACTCCTGAGCTCAAGCAATCCACCTACTTCAGCCCCCCAGAGTGCTAGGATACAGGCATGAGCCACCACATCTAACAATTTATTTCTTTTGATTTTTCTTTTATCGACAGAACTAATTCTGCCTGTGAAACTACTGAGTTATTTTTCTTCTCATAAAATGGAAAATAACTATTCATGTTGAAAATTATCATTGTTCATGATTAGACTTTGATTTACAAGTTAAAACTACACCAACAAGCTTATTAAA